TTTTTTGGAGGGAGTTTTTTTTTTTTCGTTCTGTTGGACTTCGACCCCTCCTTTTTCTTTTTCCTTAAATATTTTTTGTCCGTTTGTTTCGGTTTTGGTTTTCTCAGAGGCCAATAATTCTGTTTCCACAGGTTTCCTCTTGAGTGTCTCCAAAAATTTTTGCCCCTCTCCTCTTCCGTCTTCTCCACTTTTTCAGTCATCTATAACGTGGGACTCACCCTCCTCCTTGTTGATTTTCCATTTCGTCGGTGCGCGTGTGGTCTCATGCTCGCTATTTCCCGCCGCGCCGTTTGGGGCCACCGGTGTTGCCGCCGGCCGTGTCTGCGGTCCCGTCGTTATCGCCGCGTTGAGGCGCCGCCGCGCCGCGTCCACGCTGCAGTTTTGGCACGTGCTTCACCTCCGCTGGAGGGTTTGGCGTGCTATCCACCGTGGGCACCGGTGGTGGGGCGACGGCGGTGTTGGTGCTGACCGGTTGCTGCGGCTCAACACGGGAGGCGCCGCTGCTCTTCTGCGGTCGCATGGTGTTGCGCATGAGGCCGGCCGGCGCGCCCTTCGCTGAGGCGTAATCCGGCATGGGCGCATTGTGGTGCTGCGGTGGCGGGAAATTGCCAAATCCGTGGAATGGCTGCTGCGGCTGCTGGTGCTGCTGGNGCATGGGCATCGGCTGGTTAGGGTTCATTCGTCCACCGGGGCCTTGGAACGTCCTATGATGAGTGGGCAAAGCTGGCTGCTGGTTCACGTACATCTGTGGCGCCGCCCCCGCACCAGGTTGAGGGACACCTGTGTCATAGCTTTGCTGTGAGTACGAGGAGTCATCCTGGTCGTAGTACATGCAAGTACCAGGCCAATGGGGGATGCACTCGTAGCACTGCTCACTACTCAAAATAAGATCTGCCAATGCCGCCATGAAGTCTGTAACAGGTGCCGACGGAGAGGCCCCGAGTTTCATCGGTGTGTACGGGGGTGCCGCAGGGTTAAATCCGGGTGATTTTGGGTGATTTTCGTGCGGCATCGGGTGCTTGTCCTCATCGGCGCGTTTCTGGCGCATCGCATTCTCCTCTGCCATCGCCGCCGTTGCTGCTGCTGCTGCTGCTGCTGCTGGTGGCGGCGGTGGCGGTGCTGACTGCATCTCTCCAGCGGCTTTGCGTGCGGCAGCAACGGGTGGCACGTAGACAGCCTTCTTCTTCTCCTGTGGCCGCTGCACATCGGAGTAGAGTGCCCCCTCATCCAACCCCTCGTCGTCTTTCAGGTACTCCTCACGCTCCATGCGGTGGGCAATACCGCGCGTGGATGAGACTTCGATTTCGCGCGCGACACGATCAGCATGGGCGCGCTGCTCCTCCGTGATCTTGCTGTGGTCGAGCCGGGTTGTGTAGAAATCCTCCCGGTACGTCGACTTCACCCCAAAGGTCTTCTCGTTCGCCTCAAACTGGTCCCATGCACCGGCCTGGTGGGGCTCGTTGTCAAGCAGCTCGTTGGCTCCGTCGTCGGCCCAGTCGAACTTGTTGATGGGGAGCTCGCTGCGGCCCGTGTCAGCCCGGCCGGGCGTCTCCGTCCGTATCTTCACGTTCAGCGCTTCCACCATCACTATGTTACGGTAAGGGATGATCGTGTCCTCCGTAAACTCCGAGCACGACGGGTCGAGTGGCTTGTGCCTTGCGGATGCGAGGTACCGAGTGCAGCAAAGAAGAATGCCGGCCTCACTTTCCACATCGACGTCTGTTCGAGACACGAAGACGCCTTCCACGCACGCACCATCTGTCAAGCGCACCTGCACCACCTGACCAACTAAGTTCAGGTAAAGGTACTCCAAGCGATCCACATTAGAGCTAAATGACGCCTCCATCGTAGCGACGAATCGTCTATTGTCTTGCTCGTATAAATGTAAATGTCTTTATACCTGTGGGTCGACTTGATTCGCGTGTTCTTTTAATGGAGTTTCACCTCTACTCGCTGGCGGTCACAGCACAAGAAACTAACAACTTCCTTCTTATGTATCTATATATATATAT